GGTGTAGGGTTTAGGGTTAGGGACCGAAAGGCATGGAACTGCAGAACACGCTCGCTTAGGAGAAGACAAAAATTGCACACAGCCAGATATTTGCCCTTAAAGCCCCTAAACTCCTGAAATCTATGATACTGACACCTTAGCCCTATACCCTAACCCCAAAACTCGCGAAAATGATACCGGTATCTTAACTCTTAACCCTAAACCCTAACCCCTAAACTCCTGAACTCTGTGATACTGACATCGTAACCCTAAACCCTAACCCCAAAACTCCTGCACTCTATGATGCTGACATCTTAGCCCGACGCCCTTCGACCCCAATTTGGCCCACCAGGCCCCTCACCCCAAAGCCCCAGCCCCAAAAATCGTACGGTTGACGATATAAATCCTGCATCACCTTAAGAACCCTAAACCATGGGAATTGTGGTACATTCCTTACTATGGGTAATGCAGGATTTCTATCGTCAGCCATATGACCCCCAAATTTCGCACCATAAGCAACCCGGAGCCCCAAACCCTAAACCCTAAACCCTAAACCCTAAACCCTAAACCCCTAAACCCTAAACCCTAAACCCTAAACCCTAAACCCTAAACCCTAAACCCTTGTTTAGGGTTTAGGGTTTCAGGTTCGGGTTTCGGGTTCAGGGCTTAGAGTTGGGTTCGGGGTTTGAGAAGTCCTGAAGCCTCCAAAAGACCCTGAATCTGTCAGAATACTCTTCGAAGAATCCTTTTTCATGATCAAACCTTTCGGACACCAAACTCTGCTAATTCAGGCCTTTCATGAACTTCAGCCGGCAGGTATCTTCAGCCGGCAGGTGCTTAAACCTTTAGATTAAGTCCTAACTTGAGTCCGAACTAAGCCCCTGAACCCTAAAATCCCACACCCCATAAACCATCTCAAACCTACATCCTTAAACCACCTTAAACCCCAAATCCCTCAAGCCCTCAAGCCCTCAAGCCCAAAACCCTAAACCCCAATAAACCCTAATAAACCCTAAACCCGCC